CGAGGCAGGTGTAAAATGTTGAGCGGGAGCGCCGGTCCCCGCCGTGGGTGACGGGGCTCTGCGGCATCCCCCGGGGCATCTCTGCCGGCTTCCACCCCTCCGCCTCGGGCCTCACCTGTGCTGTGGGGCAGGGGGATGCGCTGCCCTTTGCAGGCACCGTGAGGTCTGAGGGAGGCCGGGGGTAGGTGCTGTGAAATTGTGTGTGTGGGCTCGCTCTCAGCAATCCTTATACGCCTGATTTCGGGAGTCACCGTGTGGACCTTAAAAACCAGTGAGACAGTTCTGGCTGGTGTCTTCCAGAGTCACGAAGAAGATGACAGGAAGGTAAGGAGGAGAGAAAAAAACCGAGTTGCTGCACAGAGGAGCCGGAAGAAGCAAACTCAGAAAGCAGATAAACTTCATGAGGTGAGTGGGTACTCAATGTTTTGCCAGGAACAGTTTGGGTACCGAGCACAGGACTTCACGATAAACAGGACTTCTTAAGCAGGCGTGGGCCTGCCTTCATGCTAACGCAGCTCAGAGAGCTGTGGGTGTGAGGCAGAGACGTGCTACAGGGTGCCTGGTTGGGAACTCCCGGACACTGATGCTCATGTTGGACAGCTCTGCCATCGGTGACACTGCCAAGGAGAGAGAGAGATGTGGTCCAGCCCTTGCCGCACCCTCCTTCTTTTGCTGTTCCCCTGACCACTCAATGAACTGGATCACGGGGCTCCTCTGGGCTAAAACAAACCCATTTTCATCTGGGTTAGCGTTAAGTTTGTCAGGTTCGCTATGGCGGTGGATGAATGCTTGCCGCCTGATGAGGGAGAAGGCGATGGAGGTGGAGGGAACCATGCTGCTTAGTGGCAGTGCTGGCTTAAGTCGATTCTAAAACTGCGGTGTGAGACAGAAATACCCAGTTGAAAAGGCTTCATAGGAACTTCAAAACCTCCAGGCGCGAGATCTCGGTTCAGTTAGCTGTTATACTTGTATGCTCTGCTAAGTAACAGTGGGTGTTTCCAACAAACCATGAAAGTAACTGATTCTTCCAGAAACTCTTAATACTTCTTCTCAATATCACAATGTGGTGTAGTTTTCTTTGGTCCCCAGTGCAAATGCTGGAGGACAGGAATCCCCTTTCTCTGGTTTTGGATGTTACCTCACACAACACTGCTTTTGTTGTTGTCGGGGCTCTTGGCGTCAGTGTTCATTCTGCTGCTGTGATTGTGGCTGGGTCAGTTGTTCAGCTCTGGATGTCCAGCACAGGCTCTTCTCTTTCTCAGCGTGGAAAGATCTGCCAACAGTCAGCAGAGGCCAAGAGGGACACTGTGGGGAGTTTTGGGGTTGTTTTTTCCCAGATCTCCTCTGAGTCAGTGCCTGAGAAAGCCAGGTGCAGGGTACTTCTGGACAGGGGTAACCCCTGGCTTTTGTGGAATCATTTCTGGGCCCTGTGCTGTCCTGCAGCATCTCTGATGTTCCCTCTGCACTTGAGGATCTTCCTCATGCTGGGAATCTTTATTCTCGGGCACACAGGTTTTCCCAGGTCCAGGCAGTTCTGGTTGAATAGGCATTCAGTCTTAGGAAGAACAATTTGATAGTCTCATCCCTGAAAATGGGACAGAGCAATGGGAGAGTAACACTTACTCCAAAACCCAACCTAGATGGGCTTGGGGCTACAAGAGGTGAGCAGACCCAGACTCAGGGATGGACAACTTTGCTGGAGTTTGGCTACAATAATGTGTTAGAAGGGCTGTGCCTGTTTTACTCTGAATGTGGGAGAGCTGGTGGGTGGTGGAAGGGTGTGAGGGAAGGCAAGGGGATCCAAACTCCTGCAAGCAAAGGGCAGCAGAGGCAGTGCCAACCTGCCCAGAGGAGCTTTGCATGAGAGGCTCTCTCTGCTGCCTGGTAAACAGGACTTTTAAGGCATGTGTAGGCTTTGAAGTTTGCTCTGAAGCTTTCCCAGGGAGGTGAGATTGAGTGGGTGAGTGTTGAGCCCAAGGCCGGCAGTGAGGGGCAGACACCTGCAGGTTTTCCGTGGGCTGGCTCTGAATCTCTATCTCTCTTCTCTTTGGGATGAGAAGTCTTGACAGCAGGGACACTTGAGACATGCAGTTACCAAAAAACATGACACGTGAGTCTCACATCTGTCACAGATGTATGCTGCGGAGCATCTCAAAACTCCCCTGCAGTTAAGAGCAGCTTATTCATTGCCAGAGAAGCCTTAGCTCAAAAGCAGCCTGGGTCAGGGATAACCAAGGCAATGGTCAGGCCATCTGGTGACAAAGCAGGGCTGGGAACGAGCTGGCGTGATGCTCCCCTCCTCCTGCTCTTGAGTGCCCAAGCATCTGAGCAGGTGGCTACAAGCCCGGGCCGGGCTGGAGGAGAGTGGCTGGCACGGAGCGCCTTGCGCTAGGTGCGCACCTCAGCCAGCACCTGGGGAAACGGCCTCTCCCCGCGTTGGCCTGGGGCAGGGGCTGCCCTTTCCTTATCGCTAATGTCAGGCACCGGGTTTTCCCGGCATCTGCCTGCACTCAGTGCTTTCATTTTCTCTGCTCTGACAGTGCAGAGCTGCCCTGCTCGGCCCTTCCTGGCACAGGCGGCCCAGGGCTGGAAGGGGCCATCACGGGGATGCAGCTACCCATGCCTGCAGCCCTGGGCTGCTGGGCACTCCTGAGGGCCAGCAGATCCTCCTGCTCTTCAGGACCACAAAAGGAGTTGCAGCGTGGTCAGGGCACAGGTCGTAAAGCACTCGCCCTGTTCCAGCAGCCAGGCTGTGTCTGTCTTTCCTTGGCATTTGGCACATTGCAGTAAGAAACCATGCAGGTTTTCTACAGTTACATGAATATACTCAGGTGGAAGCACTGAAAGGAATGTTTTGACTATGAGTAGGCTTTTTTTTTTTCCCCTCCTTCCAGGAATATGAGTCTCTTGAGCAAGAAAATACCTCCCTGAAAAGAGAAATCGGAAAGCTAACAGATGAAATGAAACACTTGAGTGAAGTGTTGAAGGATCATGAAAAGATCTGTCCACTATTGCACTGCACCATGAACTTTGTGACCGTACCAAGGCCTGATGCACTCGCCAGCTGCCTGCCAAGATGAGACCTCTCCTCCATCACCTTTAAACGTGATGTGTGAAAGTGCCATTAACAAGGGAGATTTGAAGAACCGCCTACTTATGGTGCAGGTCTTCCATCGAAGAGGGCTGGACTTGATCATGTAGCTCTTCTCCACATTGAAGTGTTATAGTCTTCTGAATCTCAGGAAAACACCAGTATGGAAAAAAAACAACTCAAACTGCGACTTCTTATTTGGTAGAATCTTCGAGCCACTGTTTTGCATTCAGTAACGCCAAAGTGTGGTGCAACCCACCATTGCGCGATGGAATGTAGACAAGGAAAAGTACCGACCTTGGGCTGGGATGCCTTTCTCCCACATGTCCACTGCCAGTAACCCTTTGTCACTTGTCATCCATGTATATCACATTCTGGCTGCTAGGTTTTTTTCTCTAAACAGGTTTGGTTAATAAAAGTGATGTCCCATCTTTATGATGTTCTCCACCTTCTTCAATAATCAATGTCTTTATAACATCTCTACTTTACTGGTCAAATCAAAGGTCTAATGCTAATCTTCCTGTCAGTTGTTTTATTATTTGCTTATTGCCTCTTCATTGGTTCCTCTTCTGAAGCGTGTGTAACAAGTGAGTTTTCCCAGTCTTTATTTCTTTAATATCCCCAATCATCAGCCCTGCCAACATTAGTTCCTGGCGTGTTTTATATCCTAAAATACGGCTTGGCCAATTTCTAATGATGATTGTCTGCTCTGTGTGGAAGAAAAGCAAAACAGAGTTTGCTGGTTCTACACGTTTTTTAAAAAAGCAGATTTAAAAATTTACTGGTTTAATGCACCCACTGGAAATTAACAAATATCTTTATCCTTCATCTTGCATATTGCTTCTCATAAATGATATCTGTGGCTAGAACAAATTGAGTTTAACTAAGCATTTTGTTCCATGTCCACATTGAAGATGTTTGATAACTGCTTGCAAGAAAAACATTATGCTTTCTTAAACAAAAGAAAACATGGTTTTGTTTGGGGTTTTTTTTCTTTACAGAACGGGAGAATCATGACAATGTTAGTGAGAGATATACAGAAAAGTGTGTTTGCTTTCTCTGAAGATTCTTGGTAGCGTCAAGTTCTAGCAATGTGAATGCTGTAGCCTGGGATCCAGCAAAGGGTGTTTTTTCTCACAGTATTTCCAGTCAAAGAGCACCTAAAAAGCTCTACCCCTTTGCCAACTCTCTCACTTCAGCATTTGGATTTTTTTCAGTTCAACTCATGGGATTAATTTCTCCTCTCACCAGGATCATAGTATTTATCGTCAGAATATGATCTGAAATGTCTGAAATTTTTTTTTTCTTTTTTTAGCTTCTTCAGTAGAACGATGCATTGCTGATCACTGCCAACATAGAACTGGGGAAACCCTGTAGTCAACTCTGCGTTCTGAAGGGCCCTCTCATGCCATTGTCTTTTAGGCTAGAAGCTCCAGATAACAGGCATGAGCTCTTGGCTTCTTTAAAAGTTTTCATTAGGTTGTCCCTAAGAGAATTTTCAGCATTTGCAGAAGCTATCTACAGCCTAAATGCAGTCTTCAAAGTTTCTTATGGTCCTGTGAGAACTGAGTCATCCCACAAAGAAAATCTGATGCAGGCCCTGCCAAAGAAAATTAAAGTTGCAGGACACTTCAAAATATGCATTTTAGATAATGTCCTTGATATGCTTCTGTGTGTCACCCTTAAGAAAAGAAGCTATCTTAAGCTTCTTCATCCACCCACCCACATTCCTTCAGGCTCTGGAAGCCACTGTGTAATTTGGGCAGAGCAAAGGTGTAATGGAGAAGGAGGAGCATAGTGGAAATGAACAACATTCACTTCAGGGAAAATTCATGCTAGCTTAGGATGAAGGGAGAGTGAGAGAGGATGTCTCACATCTCTAAATTAGGTGTGTGCAACTGAGCTGAGGTTGGGAATGGAAAGTAGCTAGTTGAGGTCAGGGCTGGTGCAAAAGCATGGTCTCTCCTTCGGAGCCCTGCAGACCCTTGAAAATGGGAGGAAAGATCAACCACATTGTCCAAGACGACAGTCCAAGAATCCTTCTAAAGATTTCAGTCCTACAGATGCTTACTTCTAGAAGTAGAGATCTAGTTCCTTGTGTAAAATCCTTATCCTTACACATTTGTTCTTCTAAACATCCATCCAGAAACTGGCTCCAGCTTATAATTTGGTAGTCTAAGTTCTATTGTACACTCTTCATCACTAAGCACTATTCTTATTCTGCGATGCAAGCTTTAGTCCACTGTTTCTGCGTTGGAGTTTATTGGTTTATTGACTGTACAATGTCTATGCAGAGTGTACAAGGGGAGACAGCTGAATTCACAGCAACGTTGTGTGCTGGCAACCGCAACCTAAGTCCAAAAGTCCAAGGTTATGCTGCTATTCCTTGGAAAGGCTGGGAGCCCTCCAGGGGCCCTCACTGCCACCAGTTCCTTCCCACAGCCGCAGGGTGTGTAGCTCCAGCCTGTGCATCATGTCCATTAGTGACGGCGGGCTTTGAACCCTCCGGGGCCTGGGCTGCTGCTTTCTCCTCCATCTATTGCATCTTTTTTTTCCCAGGACTATTTCCAAAGGGCCTAAGCATTAGTCTTCCGATTAATAGATTAACCAAGGCATCTCTCACAAATAGTATTTTGTCTGACTAATGTTCAAAGGCAGTTGGGAATCCCAAGTAAAAGTAGTGAGCAAAATGCATGTCCCAAGCCAAATAAACCCAACATTCTGATATATTTATAGAATTTACGTCATAGCTGAATCATGGGTCAAAAGGGACAATGAACTGTTAAAACACAGGCTTATGTATCCCTAAGCAAATTATACGCATATGGGCTGGTTACACTCTTTGCAGGAGCTGTTCATAAGGATATTGATTTACAGAGAGTTTCAAAACCGAAAGTATGTTCTGGAGCCTGGGATAATTGTTACACAAATAAGGAACCAGAAAAGAGAACAGAAAGGAAAAGGCCCATTTGTTAAGGAAGCAACAGAAAGTTCTTTTTCAAATCCAAACCTCTCCTTTTGCAGCAGGGTGTTACACCATCACCAAAAATGTTTCATACCTATTTATGGCTAAAAAAAATGCTTGATGTATTCTAGCTTCAGAAAACTTCCAGTTAGTTTGACTTGTTCCCTATGAATGGGGTCTGCATTACATTCACATGATTTTCAGACACAGGTATATAGGGAAGATCTTTTCTATGTTTGGATGGTGGTTCACGTGAGGAGTACTGTGATTTGCAGTCTTGTTTGTGGATGCATAAGGTAGATGAGGGTTGCCAAGAAAGCTGGATTCTGCCTCTCAGGTTAACAATGAAGGTTACAGTTTGTCTAGATTTGGTTAGCGTGGATTTCTGTTCTGTATTTTCTGTGACTAATGAAGAAGCAAAATGCTCAGTGCAAACTTACCCACAGATAAAAGTATTTATTACAGGAGCAGACTGGGTCCAATTCAGCTGTTTGTCTATTAATTTCTTTCCGTGGTTGTTGGGTCAGATTTAAATTGATTATATTTTGAAAAGATAATTTTAGTCTCCAAAGGTAAAAAAATCAACAGAAAGACAAAGTCAAGCTTCCCAAAACTGCTAGTGTGAGTATAACAGAGCTGAACTATTACACCTCAAGAGAGCTGATTAGAAAGTCTTGCTCCTTCCCACTGATGTTTTACACTCACATCTGTGAACATTTGTAAGCATCTGCATGTACTTGTCCTTTTAAAAAGCGTATTTAAAACAGCCTATTCTACAGACTTTCTGTTCTTTTCCCTGGTACCTTTTACTGTCATCTACTGCTCCTTCTGCAATACCTGCTGATTTCATCTGCATTTGGTATTTCTAGCAGCCTTTGTATTCTCTCACCATTTTATTTCAAATGCCACTTTCTTTTTCCCCTTCTGTTCCTATATACCTTGGTGACAACATTGCTTAATGTTATAGGTATTAGAGGAACAAGGCTAATCTGTAGGAGCATATAGAAATTGAACTTCACTTGGTACACCCTGTATATGATTAAAGGCTAGTTTTGTCAGTTGACTATTAAGGTGTCTGTGCAGTCTTTTAAAATGTACTTAGAAGTTACATAACCTTTACTCTAGCCTATAAAACCCATACTGTTTCCTGTCCATAGATAAATGCTTTGCTGCATGGCATTTGGGGTTTCCACCTGTGAATCAGTCTAGAATTTCTGCCTCAGTGAAAGTGATAGGTAAAACAACCATTTAAAAAAAATCCCTTTTCTTCCCATCAGTGTAGTGATACAATTCCTGTCACAGGAAGGAAGCATTTCTGCTAAGCAGGAGAAGTAGTGGGTTTATTTACCGTTACAAAGACTACTGTTATTCTCTTTATAGGACAGTAGGAGTTTTCTGTTTGTAAACCCTGGGTTACTGTCAAGTGGTCACTGGAGAAACAGTTTACATGTACATATAGCATGTGGTGTGGGCACACATCCACAAGGGAGTGAAAGAATTTGGATTACTTCTTTGCAGAAACGTGGGTTTTACACTGATTTCACTGGAAGTAGAAACAGTCCCACAGCTGCCTCAGAGGACATGTGGCACTATGCTTACTAACTTGGGTAATATTTAGCTCAAGAATAGCTACTGGTACTCATTCAGGTTTTTTCCTAGATAGTTCCTAAGGAGAAAATCCATAAGAACAGAGTAGGAATTTTTTCTCCCACTGTAGAATTTTTAGACCATGACATCAAATGTAAGGGCTTGACTATTCTGGAAATAGCTGGCATAGCTTTTGCAAATAATGTGTTCTCTACTAGTTATGTTTGGTCTGCTCTGAGGGAATCATTATAGTTCTCTTTAGAAGTGGATAAGCTAAACCACGAAGGGCTGTCTTGGTACAGAATGAAAACATTCATTTGAGGAGTTAGTACCAAATGACTACTGGGCTTCAATTTCACAGCTTATCTCATCCTCAAGCAGCTTCTCCATGTAGCCAAATAGAAAATGATATCTCTAACAGACGTGATTGTTTTAAA